TTTTTTTTTTTTTTTTTTTAATCTGTTGATTAGGGCCGGAGGAAAGTATTGTTGGGTTGGTTTCCTACCTGCGTTCTTCCCTCCCACCCACCCTTTGCATGCATTTCCGGGTTGGTACAGTGACACGTCAGCTACAGTGACACGTTAGCAGGCACGTCAACAGGACACGTCAGCTACAGTGACACGTCAGCAGGCCATATCAACAGTGCCACATCAGACACAGTGCCACGTAAGCAATGCCACGTCAGACACTGCCACGTAAGCAGTGCCACGTCAGACACAGTGCCATGTAAGCAGTGCCACATCAGCAGTGCCACGTCAGACAGTGCCACGTAAGCAGTGCCACATCAGCAGTGCCACGTCAGACACAGTGCCACGTAAGCAGTGTCACGTCAGCAACATGACGGGCCTGCAAGGCCAACTGGCCAATGAGCCCATTGCCGACTACAAAAAGCGCGTCCATGCTCAGCTCGCTGCAATCGAGGCTGAGGAACAACGCCAGCTGGCAGTCAAGGCTGCCCAGCTACAGGCTGATGAAGCGGCAACAGCAGAGAAGCTGCGGCTACAGGCCAAAGCAGACGCAGATGCCCAGGCTCGCCGCAAGGAAGCCCAGGCTCTGCTGCAGCGGCATGAAGCCAACAGCATCGAGAAACTCGAGTACTGGCACTTTGGACCGAACGGCGACGAGCCAACATCGGAAGAACAGCATAAGGAACTCATGGCCAAGCTTGTGAGCAGGTTGGTTTACACATGTAACCACCTACACTCCGAGCTGGCAAACCTCCAGCGGGCCGTGCGGAATCACAAGACTCAGCACGAGGATGCCACACGCGCACTGGACGCCCGTGTACTGGGCCTGGAACAGGCTGTGCCAGGACCAGATGCTGGAGCTTCCAGCAGTGCATCCTCTAGCCGCCAACTGGAAGAACGCGTTGACCACGTAGTGGCAATGCTAGGAGACATAAGTGCCTTCACAGAGCCGGCCACCATCAGCCAGCAGTTCGAGTTGCTGGACACTAAGATCAGTCAGCAACAGCAGACTGACCACAGCCACAACAACAGCTCGGCGAGGCCATACAAGACGCCGACGTTCCGGATCGAGAAATTTGATGACTACACACATCAAGACCCGGTCGTCTGGTGGCAAGGATTTACGATGGAGTTGGGGATTCACGAAGTCCCTGACCATCTGTTCATCAGTGCTCTGTTCATCAACACCAAGGGAGGTTGTCAGATCTGGCTCAGCCACATGGCAACCATCCACAACGTCCAGGTTTCAGACCTGTACAAGAAGGTCTCCTGGGAGGACATGACAAAGGAATGGAAGAAGCGGTTCATCGTCGACGACGCCCCGGCACTCGCCGTCAACCGCATCTTCACGATGGCTCAAGGGAGCACACCGACATGTGACTGGCTCACGGATTGGCAGAAAATCGTGGCGACGCCCGATTTGGACTTGTCATTTCCGCATCTGCGGCGTGAGTTCTACAACAGGTCATGCGCCGCTCTCAGCCTCGCACTTGGTGATCGCGAGCAGTATAACACTTTCGCAGAGATCATCAACAAGGCGAGAGAGTTCATCAGAACTAACAGGCCGGCTGCATACGAGAAGTCCACGTGGTAGCCAACCTATGTGGAGAAGGTACGAACTGGTCCGCGACAGCAGCAATTCGTTGCAGTCCAGTCGGACAGTGGAGATAACCCAGCAGCCACTCCAACATCAAGTGACGGAGATCAGGTGGCTGCTGTCCAGCCGCGAAGCAACAACAAGTCCCGCAACAATGGGAAGGCGAAATCCGCATCGCAGGCAGGAAATGGACAGCCAGTACAAGTTCCATGGGTCAAGTTTGGCTTGACCGAGGCGGAGTACAAGGTCCGCGGCCGCTACGGCAGCTGCTATTGGTGCAACAGCACCAAGCACAAGACCTCCCTGTGCCAAGATCAGGGCAAGGAGGATGTGCGACCCCGCCTCAGCTCGGGAAACTGAGCTCCGCGGAAGGTGAGGCGACTCCACCTTCTACTCCGCCAGATTCGGCCGCCTTGCTAGCTCCCTCCTGCACATCTGGGGAGAACGCGAATGTCGCAAGTCCTCGATACACTTATGAGGACTATGCTGTCCACTTGGTTCCACCGCTGGACCAACCGCTCCACGTGCAACAATCCATCGCATGCACGGTTTCATCACCATCGGCAACCGATTCGGCACCTTCGCCGCAATCTATCGTCGGGGATTCGACGTCATGGTCAAGACTTGAAGAGCTCGACCCATTGACGTTCACGGACTTCCAGTGGATGCCCGTCCCCTCGACCGGACGATTGCTGAAACCGCATTGCAATGTGCTCATGGCACAACTGCGAGATTACTTGCACACTGCAGTACCAGCTCCATTGATGGACGCCGGAGCAGAGGTTGTCGACCTTCACGCTTACATCGCGAACATCGACCGCGAGTTCAAGACGCAACGGTACGACGACATTGACGCACCATTGCTCTACGTACGCATTCAGATCGGAGAGGCGACCTGCAGTGCCTTGATCGATTGCGGAGCATCTCGCAACTACATCAGCCAGGACTTCATGGTGTGCGCCGGCCTTGGCCCACGCGTCCGGAGGAAGTCCCAGCCTACGCAAGTCGCGTTGGCGGACGGTCACACGCACAAGTCAATNCGGGGATTCGACGTCATGGTCAAGACTTGAAGAGCTCGACCCATTGACGTTCACGGACTTCCAGTGGATGCCCGTCCCCTCGACCGGACGATTGCCGAAACCGCATTGCAATGTGCTCATGGCACAACTGCGAGATTACTTGCACACTGCAGTACCAGCTCCGTTGATGGACGCCGGAGCAGAGGTTGTCGACCTTCACGCTTACATCGCGAAGATCGACCGCGAGTTCAAGACGCAACGGTACGACGACATTGACGCACCATTGCTCTACGTACGCATTCAGATCGGAGAGGCGACCTGCAATGCCTTGATCGATTGCGGAGCATCTCGCAACTACATCAGCCAGGACTTCATGGTGCGCGCCGGCCTTGGCCCACGCGTCCGGAGGAAGTCCCAGCCTACGCAAGTCACGTTGGCGGACGGTCACACGCACAAGTTAATCGACCTGTGCATTGACAACGTCCCAGTGTACTTTGCCCCTCACGCAAGTGAGGCGGTGTCCTTTGACATTTTGGACGCCAAATTTGACATGATCTTGGGCATGTCATGGCTGCGAAGCGAGGATCACCCGGTGAACTTCTTCCACCGCACCATTCACATTCGTGATCGGAACGGGGTACTAGTCCCATGCACGGTGCCTCTTCCTCATCCTTCGATCAGCTGCCACGTGGTATCCGCCGCAAGCATGCGAGCTTCMATCATCAGAGACGACATCGAGGAGATGGGGGTGTGTTTTCTCCACGCCCTCCCGCCACATGACGCTTCATCAACGGACTCACCTTCGGATCCACGCATCACCGAACTTCTCGACGCCTACAGCGACGTGTTTGAAGGCCCGCACGGAGTAGTACCGGATCGACCCATCCGCCACGAGATCATCCTCGAGGACGGGGCCTTACCTCCGCGCGGTTGCATCTACCGAATGAGCGAGGAAGAGTTAAGTGTGCTTCGGGCACAACTCGACGACCTTCTGGAGAAAGGCTGGATTCGGCCTAGCTCATCGCCATACGGTGCTCCTGTTCTCTTCATCCGGAAGAAAAACAAGGACCTACGGTTGTGCATCGATTATCGCAAGCTCAACGCGCAGACGATTAGGAACGCCGACCCTCTCCCACGCATCGATGACCTTCTCGAGCGATTGGGCGGCGCCCAGTTCTTCTCTAAGCTGGATCTCAAGTCAGGTACCACCAACTCGAGATTCGCAAGGAGGATCGCTACAAGACCGCGTTCAAGACACSGTATGGGCATTTCGAATGGCTGGTCATGCCATTTGGCCTTACGAATGCCCCAGCCACTTTCCAAGCGGCTATGACAACGGAGTTCCGACACATGCTGGATCGGTTTGTACTCATCTACCTCGACGACATCTTGGTGTATAGTCGGAGTTTGGACAATCATGTGGAACACCTGCGCACCGTTTTGGAGCGGCTACGACAAGCCAAGTACAAAGCAAACCGCGACAAGTGCGAGTTCGCACAGCACGAGCTGGAGTACTTGGTACACTATGTGACGCCGCAAGGCATCCGTCCGCTTGCGGACAAGATCGAGGCCCTACGAGTATGGCCCGAGCCCACCAACACCACGGACGTTCGTTCATTCATGGGGTTGGCGGGCTACTATCAGCGATTCATCACCGGATACTCCAGGATTGTTGCACCTATGACGAGGTTACAGTCGCCAAAGGTGCCATTCGTATTCGATGACGACRCACGCYGGTCATTCCAAGCACTTAAGACGGCTATGCTCATGGCAACCATCCTTAGCATCTATGACCCCACCCTGCCGACACGAGTGACTACGAACGCTTCCGGCTATGGCATTGGGGCAGTCTTGGAACAGCACGACGGCGACAACTGGCACCCTGTGGAGTATTTCAGCCACAAAGTGTCTCCCATCAACTCGCTTGATGATGCAAGAAAGAAGGAGTTGCTCGCATTCGTGATGGCTCTCAAGCGCTGGCGGCACTTCCTCCTTGGGCGTCGTAGGTTCACATGGGTCACAGACAACAATCCATTGACCTACTATAAGACGCAGGACACGGTGAGCAGCACGATCGGACAATGGATGTACTTCATCGACCAATTTGACTTCACACCGAAACATGTCCCGGCCTCTCCAATCACGCAGCAGATGCACTCTCGCGAAGACCTGATCTTTGCGCTATGACACATCATGCCTTCGCATTCGACGAGGAGCTTCAGCGACACTTCATCCGGGCATATCAGTCTGATCCGGACTTCGGCACGCTCTATGCACAGCTATCTTCGGATCACCCGCCGGCCAACCATTACCGCATTGTCGACGGGTACTTGTTGCTCCACTCGAGAGGCAAGGACTTACTATGTGTCCCACGCGACCGTCGTCTTCGGACTCGCCTCCTCGGCGAGTATCATGATTCACGACTCGCCGGCCATTTCGGAGTCAACCGCACTATTGCACGGCTTCGACAGCGATTCCGATGGCCCGACCTCATTACCGATGTCACTCGGTATTGCGACTCTTGCAAAGTTTGCCGACGCAGCAAGCCCCGCAACCGCAATCCCTACGGCGAGTTACACCCGATGCCTATCCCACGGGAACCCGGTCTCTCCATTGCCATGCACGTCACCGGTCCGTTTCCTCGCGACCGGCTCGGGCACGACGGCATCCTCACGGTTGTGGACCGATTGAGTAAGTACGCGTGTTTTCTCCCTTGCAAGTACTACTCCACGGCTCCCGAGCTGGCACGCCTCCTGCACACTGGTTGGATTTGTGGCCACGATGTACCAGAAGACATTGTCAGCGACCGCGACACTCGTTTCATATCGGCGTTTTGGACTGCTCTCATGCAGGAGTCCGGCACAACAATGAAACCAAGTTCGGCTCGACATCCTCAGACAAACGGGCAGACGGAGTGGGCACATCAAACCGCTCAAATGATGCTTCGTACACTCATCCGTCCGGACCAGAAAGATTGGGTTGACCGCCTCCCCGACATCGAGTTCGCCTACAACACTTCGGTGCATCCGACGATCGGCGTGACTCCATTCGAGTTGCACCACGGTGGACGGAAAGGCCGGATCTTCGCCGACCTTCTCCTCCCTCGACCAGCCGACATTGACGCTGCCTGCTCTCCAGCTTCCATCCGGAAGTACAGGGAATTGCTGACTCAAGCCCGCGCAAATATGCAAAAGGCTCAAGTCCGCATGCAGCAGCAAGCCAACAGGCGTCGCGTACCATGTCCCATCCGCGCCGGTGATCTGGTTTGGGTCTCCGCGGAAGAGTTTGCACTGGAACAGGATGTTTCACGCAAACTGCTTCCCAAGTGGTTTGGACGTTGGTCTGTGACAGCAGCCGCGGGCGATGAGCCCGATGGCCCTTCATTTGTGATCAACATTCCAGAGCATCTGACGGTCCATCCGGTCTTCCACGCCTCGAAGCTGGCAACATACACGCCAGCCAAGAGCGACGACTTTCCGGACCGACGATTGCAGGACCCTCCTTCTCTGGATGGCCATCAGGAAGTTGACCGCACCATCTCCGATCGCAAGTATGGCAGCAAGCCGCGGCAGTACAAAGTCACATTCAAAGCATGCGATCGCGACGACACTCGGTGGATTTCAGGCGCAGATTTGAAAGCATCCGCACCGCTGATCTACGCGCAT